TTTTTTATTATTTTTAATTATTAAGAATAATTAAAAATAACTTAAAAATTAGGTTTTTATTTTAAATATATTTTTATTTTTATTAAATTCCCCTGATTTCAGTGAACTCAAAAAACTAAGTTTCATAATTTTTGGAGTTATGTTTTAATTTTTAAAAATCATTTGAGTTTCAAATTTAATGGTCACATTTAAAAATCAATTAAAAATATTAAATGATCTCCAAATGACTTAAAATTTTTATGGTGAGTTCTCTGACTCATGAGCCACAGTGAAAAATAAAAATAAAGTGATTTTGATCTCTATGTACTCCAAATTAAAAATCATGAAATTATTTCCTAAGAGTATTCTGGCCATAGGAAACGGGAGCTTACATGAATTTTTGTAGAATTTTCTAAGCTACATACAATTTTCTATAATTATTTGAATAGAAACTGCATAAAAACTTAGACAATTAAGATCTTTGTCTAGAGATCTCCTATATCTTTGGAAAAATGCTCAAATTGTGCACCTAGACAGAGGATACAATATATAAAAATTTGGGGTCAAGGGGATGAGTCAATAGGAATGGAGAGTTCAAAAACCTCTAACACTAATTGATTTTTATAAAATTAAATATGCATCAAATAATCATGAAATTTATTCCAAATGTGAAAATAATTCCACATGATTTTTCTCTGTTCACTGAGCAAGAGGGTATTTTTATTTTATTTTTATGAGTTTTCTATGAAAAGTTATGAATTTTTGAAGTTTAGGGGTATTTTCTGAATTTTTTAAATCCCATAATTTTCTACTTAAACCCACGCGCTGACTGGATCATGGGCGGTTCCGAAAATGCCACGTGTCGCGCTCTGGTTTGCCGCCTCCATCCGCGTCAGCGCTGACTCAGTCTCAGTGTGCTGTGCATATACGGGATCTCTGTCCGACGCGATCAGGACCGTCCGATCGATACACGCGCGAATGGACGACATCTGTTCATCGTCCCTGACTGGTTCATCCCGAGAGCCGTCCACCTTCAAACGTTAATATCTCACTCGATTCTCAATCAATTTACATGAATTTTTTTTTAAATTGTAGATCTGACCTAGCTCTACACAACCATATAGTTAATCAAGCATGATTTGTAAGTTTTCTTCACAATACGTGAAACCGAGCTCGAATTTAGGGAAAATGGCCTATACCTTTATCCAAGAGGTGTCGCCTCAATTGGATGCTTGTGGAATGTTTGTTGAGGTCCAACGAAGCTTCTCTAAGAACCAATTGGAGTTCCTTTGAGTTTTATTTAGAAATCCCAAACATGGGGTTCGCCCTTATCCTCCACAACAAATGAGACCTTGGGGGAGGGGGGTTTGATGGGAAAGCTTCTTCTTTAGGCCTTGTGAAGGTGTGTGCAAGGTCAAGGTTAATTTGATTTAGTTTGGAGTAGGGCCCTGATTTTGAGCTCGATTTTGAGCTCAAAGAGCTCGATTTTGAGCTCAAAA